TGTGACTCTACCAGTGTGACTCTACCAATGTGACTCTACCAGTGCGACTCTACCAATGTGACTCTACCAGTGTGACTCTACCAGTGTGACTCTACCAATGTGACTCTACCAATGTGACTCTACCAGTGTGACTCTACCAATGTGACTCTACCAATGTGACTCTACCAGTGCGACTCTACCAATGTGACTCTACCAGTGTGACTCTACCAATGTGACTCTACCAATGTGACTCTACCAGTGTGACTCTACCAGTGTGACTCTACCAATGTGACTCTACCAGTGCGACTCTACCAATGTGACTCTACCAGTGTGACTCTACCAGTGTGACTCTACCAATGTGACTCTACCAATGTGACTCTACCAGTGCGACTCTACCAATGTGACTCTACCAGTGTGACTCTACCAGTGTGACTCTACCAGTGTGACTCTACCAATGTGACTCTACCAATGTGACTCTACCAATGTGACTCTACCAATGTGACTCTACCAGTGCGACTCTACCAATGTGACTCTACCAGTGTGACTCTACCAGTGTGACTCTACCAATGTGACTCTACCAATGTGACTCTACCAATGTGACTCTACCAGTGTGACTCTACCAGTGTGACTCTACCAGTGTGACTCTACCAGTGTGACTCTACCAGTGTGACTACCAGTGTGACTCTACCAGTATATAGTCGTCCCTCACCACTGTACGCTTCAACTTTCGCGGCTTCACGGTTTTTTTTTTTTTTTTGCTTTTTTTTTCAACACCGGAATAACGGTGACATATGACATCCAACGTTGATCGAGATCGTGGAAATGATACAGCGCGAGCTCGGTTGTCTTGTCAGACACACCCGTATTACAATTCTAATTACTGCACGTGTGGACTGTTGGCCTGTGTATTAGAGCACCGCCAGTGGGTCCAAAAATAGTATTGAGAATTGAGAGGGTCGTCAACATGTTCTCAATGCTCTAACGACCAACAGATTTGTTTTATAAAAAAGGAATCCTGCTGCGCGAAAATTCACTCATTGCGATAGTCTGAAACTGATGCACCCCTGTAAACGTTGGACGACTGTACCGGTACGCTGATACTGACCACCGGTACGCTGATACTGACCACCGGTCCGATTATTCTGACCACCGGTACGATGATACTGACCACCGGTACGATGTTACAGACCACCGGTACGCTGATACTGACCACCGGGACGCTAATACTGACCACCGGTGCGCTAATACTGACCACCGGTACGCTGATACTGACCACCGGTACGCTGATACTGACCATCGGGACACTAATACTGACCACCGGTGCGCTAATACTGACCACCGGTATGCTGATACTGACCACCGGTACGCTAATACTGATAACTCTTTAAACTATTTGAAGTTTTATCCCAACAAAAACTCGAGCATAGATTCGCTGTTTAGGACAACGCCTTTCTTTGCATCAACTGATAGAAACTGTTTTGATGGCGTCGTATGATGTTGGTGAACATTCTCACATGTATCCACCCGTAAGCTGACCAGATTTTCTGCTTGCCAAGTGCGGACACAAAGGCTCACAGCAACCGGAACCTTACCCACCCGGGAGGGGGGAGGGGTGCGTGACTTTTTTGGTTCTCCCCAAAAATCTTACATACAAGAAGCTTTTAGCCCCCCCCCCCCTAATGCTATGAGAGATCCTTGTCACGTCACAGGAATATTTCCAAAAATGCGTCGCGGGTTTATAGCACAGACAGTTTGGCCAGACCAGTGGTCCCCATAATAAGCGTCGCTCTGGGTGCCATGCTGCCCTTGGCCAGACAGTGGTCCCCATAATAAGCGTCGCTCTGGGTGCCATGCTGCCCTTGGCCAGACCAGTGGTCCCCATAATATGCGTCGCTCTGGGTGCCATGCTGCCCTTGGCCAGACCAGTGGTCCCCATAATATGCGTCGCTCTGGGTGCCATGCTGCCCTTGGCCAGACCAGTGGTCCCCATAATATGCGTCGCTCTGGGTGCCATGCTGCCCTTGGCCAGACCAGTGGTCCCCATAATATGCGTCGCTCTGGGTGCCATGCTGCCCTTGGCCAGACCAGTGGTCCCCATAATATGCGTCGCTCTGGGTGCCATGCTGCCCTTGGCCAGACCAGTGGTCCCCATAATATGCGTCGCTCTGGGTGCCATGCTGCCCTTGGCCAGACCAGTGGTCCCCATAATATGCGTCGCTCTGGGTGCCATGCTGCCCTTGGCCAGACCAGTGGTCCCCATAATATGCGTCGCTCTGGGTGCCATGCTGCCCTAGGACAGAGCGATGAGACTCGGGCAAAGAGGGCAGTCACAGCGGGGCGCAAAAATCTTCTTTAGATAGGATCTTAATAGTATAGTGAATTAAAATATCAAAAGGACGGGGGAGGGGGGGGAATCATCTTGTTTACTGATACGCCCCGGGGGCACTTTTTCTCAATATAAGTTGGCACCATTTTCCGGCTTCGCCCCAGGTGCAGCATTTCCTCCGCAGCCAACAAAGAACAGTAAAACAGAATGCAATAAAAACAGCTTTACCTAAAAAGTAATACCGGTATCAGAAAG